CCTCTATAACATATTTACTGCAGATATGCCGCAAAGTAGAAACACATTATTAGCTACTTTTGCTGATGATACAGCTATTTTAAGTTGCCACAAAAATATAAACGATGCCGCTCACTATCTACAATCACATACTAAGACTTGTGAGAAATGGTTGAAGAATTGGAAAATAAAAATCAACGAAAATAAGTCCAGTCAAGTTACCTTCGCTCTCCGTCCAGAAATATGTCCCGATATAATACTTAACAACACAATTATCGCTTCTCAAAATGAGACAAAATATCTTGGTCTAATTCATGACAAACGTCTAACCTGGGGACCTCACCTCAAAGAAAAAAATCAAATATAAGATTACATCTTTTCCGCCCTTTACTAAAGTCTAATCTGTCACTCAAGACTAAACTGCTTATATACAAGTCAATAATTCGTCCAATATGGGCCTACGGAATACAAATATGGGGACCAGCTAAACCGTCAACAATAAGACCAATACAGGCGTTCCAAAATATTTCACTGCGAATGATTGCAAACTCTCCCTGGTACATCTCAAACAATAATCTACATAAAGACCTGCAAATAACAACTGTTAAAGAACTTGCCAAAATACACTACTTCAGATTCCACTCAAAACTAAACTCAAACTCAAATCCCCTAATAAAGCGCATGCACACGACTAGTATCCCCGGCAACCCTCCACGCAGACTAAAACATAACTGGAATAGAGACTTATTAACATAAAATAAACAACTTAACATAACTTAACTATAGAGGTGTTACCAATGGGTGGCTTCCTCCTCACGATATACAAGCCTTGTAATATAGATAAAAAAACAAAAAAAAACTTATTGTACATGTATATTGTATAGATTGTTTTGTATTATTATTAAAAAAAAAAAAAAAAAAAAAAATATAGTTATATATTTTTTTATAACCAGTAAAAGACTTTTTTTGTAATTTATGTAATTTTAGGTGAAATAAAAGTTATTATTTCTACGATATATTTATATTGACTTTGTTACTTCCCGACATACTTTTTAAATTTTGTAGTGTATAGCTAAGCCAGAATTCTAAATTTACTTCTGAAACTTCGTAAATACATTTTTTTAGTCCTATACAATAATTTACACGGTGTTAAAGCGCTTGGAAATGTGTTAAGCTAACCATTATACTATAAAAACTTTATACTGGACTTATACTACTTTATAAGTATTATTATGCTATACACATTACAATATACTATTGTATATTATGTTTTTTTTTAAATTTCTAATTAAGTATTTTTATTATTTCTAATCTTCTAAACCATAGCACGAAATAAATTATAAATTATTGGCAAATAAAACTTATTTTAGTTAAGAAATGCGTTATGCAGGACTTGTAAATTCGTTAATAACTGTAAAATATAAGTAGTGGTTATTTTCATAAAGTAATATTGTTTTGTTAAATAAGAGACTAATAGAAACAAATACATGTAACATTGTGGTCACACTTTTAATGGAAGATAACCTTTGATAGATATTTTTGTTGATTCATAGTTCCTAATTTTATAAGTATTATTTTCTCATAGTCGGTAATTAGTATTTTTCTGATTTGGGTTTCACTCGCAATATTGTTTTTGCACTTTTCTCAATTTTCAATAATCCTAAACACATTTTTTTATCGATGCGTTGGTTAATATTAAAAATGTATTCTTCTGGCAACAAACACACCAAAGTTTTTTCATGCGTTTTGCCTGTTGTTGTCGTAGATGGAACAGTTTTTTATTTGTACAAATGCTTCAACTACCAAAATATTTCATAAAAAAAAAATGTTCATTATTATAATACTATGCATATTATTTTCAAGTCTCTATAGAAATTTTTATCGATAAAAACCTTTTTCTGTTAGATTAAAATATGTAACAAGAAATTATTGGAAATTAAAAATAATTTTTAAAATCAAAATTCACGTGAAATTATTTTATAATACCTAACTGTCAAACAAAAGTTCAAAAAAAATATTTATTAAAACTTTTCGAAATTAGAAGTTTTTTCCATTTTTTTATCTAAATACAACCTCGTGCACCAAACATTACATCTCGACCGACTTAAATGTTTGAAATTATATTTTATTAGGACAATTTATTAAAAGAAACACATATCGCTATTGTTGTAATTTGTGTTATTTAGATAACACTATAAATATTAAAAATGCAGCATACTATTTTATATTATTATTATTTATTCCATCTAATACCGTATGAAATATATGTATTATATTTTTAATTTCATGACTTCGGCTTATTGTCAAATGAACCAAATACATATTTTATACAATAATAAACGGAAATAGCTTTGCAATTTTCAGTAGGTACTTAGTATGTAATAATCAAGTGTGTACCGACTAAGAACAATATAATATTAACAAATTGAAAATATTAGGCCAATCTAGCTCCCTTTTCGACAATTGCAAGTTGATGGAACGTCGATCCAAGGTAGCCTGTACTTTCAGGTGTGTTCGATTGGAAGAAAACGTATAGTCTAAAACACAATTAAAAATATGTTATGCGTAGCTGTAAAATGAAAAATTTTAAAAATTCAAACAGTTACTAGTAAAAATATATCTCCTTTACCAAACTTTTACCAAATATTCTATGTATATACAAGTAATAAGTGCTGTATACATTCCAGAATGTTTAGTTCAAGCCCTAAGAAGCTCAAGGGTCTTAAATGTTTTCATTTTTTGTACAATGCAAAACTTTGAAGTTACTATTATACATCATAAAAAAAATGGTAAAAAACAAAATTATGAAAAAAAGTACCTATAGTTTGATGTCAGAATTAAAAAAAAAAAAATTGTCGTTACTTTGACCTTGAGTTAGTATACAAATTCATGACATTTATACAATTTTGAATTAGTTTTTCATTTTTAACTTATTAATAATTAAAAAAAATTCATGTTATACAGTATGATTTTTACTATTGTTTACAATACAATTTTATTAAGAAAAGCGACAGCACTTTAGACCTTATCGGGTTAATCCTAATACTTTTTTCTTTGGAAAATTGAGCTCGGTTATAATTACCTATTTTTTGGTATTCCAACAGTTTCGTGAACGTAATCTGTGATGGCGGCAATATGTTTTTTATTTTCTTCTGGCCCTAAGCTACCAATACTTGTGACTTGAACAATTCCACATGGCTCGCTGGATGCACCAAAAGTCATTTTCAAACCACTATTCACGAGCGTTATACAAAACTGAAAAACAATGTATATTTATAATATTACATTGAAATAATTTTTTTTAATGATTCATTGCAAATTGAAATGCGGTTTGAGATTATTTTACTGTCTGTAGTATAGTATAATGTCGGTGTCATTAATAGGGTATAAGTTAATTAAGGTATAAGTTCTCAGAAATAAAAATTCCATCGGAACAGAAATTTAAAAGTGCTCAGCAAAACGTTGACACACTTATGTAATTTAAACTTATTAGTTATTTAGTATATTTTATAAATGTGTATTGGCAATATTACTATGAATTATTTGTCCTGATCAATATTTTGTATTAAAAATACAATTTACTACGAATTTAGGGTTTTATTATAATTAATAACTAGAAACTAGTTCTGAACTTATTTTTGTCATCAACAACTTTTTAAAGATCTAATACCTACACATTTTGGTCGTTTTCAATAAATGTCAAATAGGAAATCTTATTTTTTTTAAAGATCAAGAAATTTGTTATAAAAATAAAAGTCATTTCAAAAATTTGTCGGTCTCGGAATGTTATTTATATATTTACACTATCATTTAAATTTAGTACAGTTCCATTTTAATTGTATTTTGAGCCAATTAACGTTTAAATTATTCAGTTTAACTTATTTCTAAAATTAATTTTATTATTTCCGTAGGTACTCACTTTGGGTCCTTTGCCAAGTGTATTAGACAGCACTTTCAAAGCTCCGCTTAAGAAATCATCAGGTATTTTTGATGAGGGTAAGTTTGTGTCCAAACTTAAACGAGGCATTTTAAGATTTTTTTGATTATTTTAAACTGAACAAAAATGCAATTGAAATGATCAAGTATAGCGACCGTTCACGTTCTATAACACATTAATACTTGTTCGGTTACATAATTCGGTATTATAATTTTTTTTCGAGTATAGATATTTAATTTTTTTAACAGTAAGTATTTGGATATCGTTATAATTATTAAAAACTGCGTACAAGTATTACTCATTGCACATAACTGTTAATCTTGATTTTTTTTTTTTGCAAAACGTTACATAATATTTTGTCTGTCGCACTGACCAAACTCATAGGGCACACACACATTTAATGAATTATGTAAGATATAACTATAATAATTTAACAACCTATATTATTTGTGGCCATTCGATTTTCAACACTATAGTAAGGCAAGCACCTACATATACACTCATTCCAATTGATTGTTAACTCCAAGTACACAAAAAAAAATGCCAACCTTAAGTCTAATCACAAACGTACCCAAGTACAAAGTACCGGCAAGTTTCTTGTCTGACGCGTCCAAGTTGGTCAGTGAGATTTTAAAAACTCCAGAATCGGTAAGTTTCTTCAACTTGTATTAAAGTTGCAGCCATGTGTAATTCATATAGATTAGGTACCTATACTTAAATTAACATTGGATTTTTTTTTTCAAAAATGTTTATTAAATAAATATTTAACAATTGAAATATTTACCCACAACGACTAGACTAAGACATATTATTAAATTAAGTAAAAAATTAAAAAATATTATTTTTTCAAAAAAAAGAACAGTATAAAACACAGTTTAGATCTTAACGCGTTTTAATTTTTTTTTCTAAAAATTGTGTTTTGTACATTCATATGTTGTTCACGTTGCCAGTAATAGGTAGTTATTTTTATGTATTTCTTTTTTAATATAAATTTATCGATTTTTAATAATTAATGTCAACTAAAAATAAGTCTTTTTTTTTAGCTTTATTTATTTCAATTTTTGATGTTGATTTTTTTTTTTAGGAAATTTCTGTTAAAATAAAAACTGGAGATCCAATGTATTGGCATAACAACTATTCTTACTGTGGAATTGGTAGTTTGGCCGTCGTAGGCATTTATGGATTCGAAGAAAATAAAAACAACTCCTTTTCTATTTACAATTTTATTGAAAAACAACTTGGCATTCCACAAAACAGGTAATTGTTCTAACTAAACGAATTATACATAATATTGTGATGATATTTTTCTATAAAGTTAAATAGTATATAATAGTATCTAAAAAATAAATTCAGAAAAAAATATTAAAACCTTTTTTTTTAACGTGTAAAATGATCAATGAAAAATATACCTACTTAAATTTTTTAATTTTTGTTATCCTTATTTTAGCTTCGATGCAAAGCGAGAAGGTATTGGTTTTACTCTGATGTGTGTTTTTTTTTTATCTGTATACTCTGTAACTTTTTTAATACTGCACCAATTCCTTCGAGTAGCAACTCTATAAATCGCAAATTTCATCTAGTTGGTACTTTGGGGGGTAAAAGTTGAAAAAGTTTAATTCTTCACAGACGAAAGTTGAAAAAAACAAAAAAAAAACCGTACGAGTTTTTAAGTTAGAACTTTTACTGGCTATAATTTCGAGAAAAAGAGTCGGATCGAGTTGAAATGTATAAGAAATAATTACTTGGTATGCCCGCACACGTCAGTTGTGTCAAACTTAAACTATACCCATTTCCCACCCCCCTAGGGGGGGTACAATTTTTTTTGTTTTTCGGGGTTTTTAGCGGTAATTTTGAAACTTTTGGGTTGAAAATTTGCCAGTAGTTGGAACTCATATGTACCCATAACATATTAAACGGGAAAAAAATTCGGCACTACAGTTTTTTTTTAATTGCCGGGAAACTGTGTTTTCGCAGATTTCGTATATTTTAACAAAAACACCTAAAATCTTTAAAAAAAATTGATCAAATCATTAAAACAATTTTACGTATATCTATGCAGAATGATACTATTAGGTTTTGTGCTCAAGTACCACTTTTGACTTAAAGTTTATACAAATTCAATTTTTTTTTTTTCTTTTTTTTTTTTTAACTAAAAACCCGGTGGACCAGATGTGAGAAACGAACAGACACTAAAAATTATTAGTTGGTAACGTCTATCCGTGTTAGATTAGGTTAGGGCCCAATGATCGGTATCATAATATTGTGTTTATTACATGATATCACAGGCGACTAAATCGTGTACCTGATTATAGTAGAAACTCGATTGATTGGGAAAAAAACCTATCCGTGTACTTATTAAGACACTTAATGATTCTGATACGACAAAACCACTGTCGTTATCTCGTTATTTTATAGCCTGCGTTATATAACCTTACCGAAGTGTAACTATGAGTATATAATGTCCAACTACCTGCAAATAATGAAGAGGACTGTTGTTGTTTGGATTCAGATTAAGTGTTGGTTTTTATGCAGTATACCGCCTCAAAATGTTTTTTTTATTACACAATTTTTTTAAAGGAAAACTAATGTCTTGTATATTGTTATACTGTTATTCATTTAAAGAGATTCAAGCTTGATTGTTTAAATTGTTTAATATTAGATAATCTGCTTCGTGCTAATTTTAATTTTTTAGTTTATCAACTTGTAGCTCTAATTTTGTATAAAATATTTCATTATTTTATTACTATGTACTATTACTATTAAGATAAATTTTAATAATAATTAAGTCATAAATGATAATACTTTGTTTTATGACTAGATCAAATCTCGTGAACATTTAACATCATGATACTGCTCCTATGCTATTATTAAAAAAACACAATTTTTAAAATCTCCATAAAAGGTTATTGTTAAATAACAGGCAACAGCCGACTGCTAGTGGCTATACACGTTAGTAATATTTAACTAATAAGTAATATATGTAGGTAAAATTTATTGTTTTCTCCATCACAGTACCAGTATACGATTTATTTTAATTTAAATGTAAGAAAATCGATTTTTCTTTAGAAAATAACAAGAAATTAATATACAGGACGAGGCAGTATTATGAGGCGATTTTCTAATGTATTTAAATGGTAAAACCCGTTTCACTATCCCACCCTTTACATTTTAAGGATCTATGAAAAGGTTTTTTTAGTTGCATTTTATTTTGTACATTGTCAATCTAGTAAAATAGAAGTATAATATAGCTTTGAAATAATATAATCTGTGAAGTATAAATAGTTTGTGTGAGATTGCTTTAATGGAAGTATATAATACATAAATATTAATTTTATTGAGAATAAGCGATTATAATTTAAACTATGGAGTACAAACGATTGAAACATGAATCGTCGACCATTCCAACAAAATATAACAAGACATTGTATATGTGTTATTTGGTCCACTAAGTTTTTGCAAAAAAAAAAAACCAGTACAGTGGGGTCGGGGCATAGTGGGGACGGAGCATAGTTGGGTCGGGGCATAGTGGTGACGGGGAGGTCACAGGTTTACAGGAATTTTTAAATCTGAAAGTGATAAAATCACTTTCGAAAAAACGCTTCGATGCAAATCGGTAGTTAGTATTTTCAAGCCAGTACAGTCCAAACCAAGCACAGTATAAACCAGCAAAGTTAGAAAGTTTTAAATGAAGGTTCTGTATTTACAAATGAGCATCAAAGCGATTTTATTCAATTTTATCATTTTTATTTATAATAATTCTTGTAGACCTGTGACCTCTCCGTTTCCTCATTGCTTTGATTACATTATGCCAATACTCTACTGTACTAGTCCTCTCGGATAAAATCACTTTCAAATTAACGCTTTGATGGTCATTTGTAAATACAGAACCTTCATTTAAAACTTTCTAACTTTGCTGGTTTATACTGTGCTTGGTTTGGACTGTACTGGCTTGAAAATACTAACTACCGATTAGCATCGAAGCGTTTTTTCGAAAGTGATTTTATCACTTTCAGATTTAAAAATTCCTGTAAACCTGTGACCTCCCCGTCACCATTATGCCCCGACCCAACTATGCTCCGTCCCCACTATGCCCCGACCCCACTGTACTGGTTTTTTTTATTTTTAGTATTACAATGTAAACAGGTTATAAATAAAAATGTTTTGGGGAAATGACATGTAAAACACTGCGGTTGTTGTATGTTTTTATCTTTTAAAACGTATTTGATGTTGGTGATTTATGATATGTTTCCTGAAATGTTTGAAGTATTATTTGACCAATATAGTTTAAGATTACAAATATTATATAATATTATTATATTCTTCATGTTTTTAAGCTGTCTCTCCCATCACCGCTGTAACGATCATATTTCACTTGACCGTTACTTCGCGTTCCAAACCAACTGACACAGCACCCCCGACTATAGGTAGGGGAACGGTCGCACACACAGGACAATGCACGTCGCGTATCATCTAATTAACCAGTTGACTTTACCATCACGGACCGCCAATATCCTCGACCTTGCGCTCTATATTTTTGCCGTTTTACTACAAGCCGCCCATCCGACTATCTTTTGTGTGCGTCCGTTTCAACTCCGCTTTGACCAACCATTTCATCGTCCAACCCAGGTCAGAGTGTATATTATATATATATTGTATGATTTTGTATTTTATTTAGAAACCCTAATTTAGAATAAAACATCTTGTAGCCTGCAGCTGAGAGTTAGATTATTTAACAGTGTGACCGCCCGTTCTAGCTCCTCGGGCGATATATTAAGTTAATAAGGGAGACTTTAATGCCAATTAGACGTAGACAACGGCCTAGCCAACCGTTTTCCCGTGGGGATCCGTCTATTTTAGCTTTATCGACGGCCACTTTGCCTAGTCTAGCCAGCTAGACAAGTAGGTCCGTTACAACTTGGTGGAGGCGCCGATTGCCGTTAGTTTTATTTTTTACCTTGGGGGAGAACCCATTTTGCAAGTGAATAAACTACGGCCACGACCCCATATAACTGCACTGATTAATTTATTCGCTCTCAGTTTGTGTTAAGGTGTTTTATTTTACGGTACAAATTGCTCTGGAATTTTAAAGGATATTTTATTTAACTTAAATTGCATTATTTTTATTTAATTAAAAATTAATTATGAGTATTACTCCGCAATGCTTTTCCGGTCGAATGACCGAAGATATTATTGGGTATTTTAAAGATTACGAACGAATTTCGGCAGCAAATACCTGGACTGACGGGCAAAAAGTAGTTATGTTTCCGCTGTACCTTAGAGAGGAAGCGAAGATTTTGTTTGAGAAGATAGAGGATGAAACTAATACCTTATCTTGGTCTATTTTAAAAAAGGTGTTCACGGAATACTATAATTCCGAGAAACAACGAGCGCTTTTGAGAGAAAATTTAAATAGGAGAAAGAAACGGCCGGAGGAAACACTACAGAGTTACATTTTGAAAGTACTGGGAGAGTGTAAACGAGTGGATGAGAAAATGAGTTAGAAAGAGACAAGTAAGATAATTAGGAAGGGGTTACCTCAGGATATATATTGGAGGATATATGCAATGGACAACTCTACGGTTGATAAGATAATATCAAATATTAGGTCATATGAGGCGGACATGGCAGCAATTAATAATAATGGATGCGAAATAGAATTATTGAGGAGAGAGATTGAGATACTTAAAGTTAGTAAACATAATGATATTAGTGATGAAGACTATTGAGAGAAGAGCTTGAGGAACTTAAAGCTAACATGAATAATAGACCGTTTAAAAGTAATGGTAATTTGAGAAGAAATTTTAATAATTATAGAAATAATGGCAGTAAATTTAATGGTAACGGTGAAGGTAAACATTTTAACAAGCGCGATAATAATAATGATTATAGGAATAGAAGTTATCATAATGACGACGCCGCATCCGATAGCAGATATGGACGAAATAGACCTAGGAGTAATTCTGATTATGGTAGAAGTGAGGAAGACGATTTTGATAACCATAGTGAAAACGATTACAACGCGCGTTTTAGGAATAATGATAGACAAGAGAATAAAAATTATAATACTCCACCCCGAGTAGAAAACATAGGTAGCTGTGTAATTAATAATGCAGATTATAAAGGGAATAATCCAGTAATCATAGGTGTTTTAGATAATGTATCACATCATTTTACTGTTGACTCAGGCGCGACTACTAGCGTTATTAACGAAAATATGCTTCCCAAAAATCATGTAATTAGTTCTTACGGGAAGACAA